GTTGAGAAACACTATTCCAGTACATTCTTCCATTTCGAACCTCCATTTATTTGTGCAAGCATGTAATGAACAATATTGGAGCGGGCTAATATAGTTGTTTAATGTCAAATTAGATACAAAACAATCCGCAGAAGCCATACAATTGGCTTGGGTATCTTCGGATAGACACTGATTGCTCGGGTGAGCATCAATCAACTTTAACGAGAAAACCCAGATTTTCTTTTTATGGGAAAAAGTCAAAGTTAAAGTGAAGCTGTAAAATGAAAGAATTTTTTTTTTCTTCTTTTTTTTATTTTTCTTCTTTTTTTTATTTTTTTTTTTTTTTTTTTTTTTTTTTTGAACGCCGATTCAATAAAATGGCTTTTTTTTTTTTTGTAAGAAAAAATGTCACGTTTAAATAATTCCAAATTGAAATTGAAAATCTTACTGGCTTCGACATTGTCTTCTTCAAGATAGTTTTACTAATGACATTCGGTCGATTGTGGATGATGACTTTGTAAATCACATTGACGGACGAAAAAAAAAAAAACACGGTAGTAAATCGAGAAAAGGTGGTTAACTTTTACTGAACTACGATTTCTCCCCCTCCGTACGCTACATGGTCTTCAGTAGAAAGACGTGCGTTAACCAGCTTAGCCAATGTCTCGTTTTCAGATCTTTACATTTTACATACTGTTATTCAATCACCTGCCTACATGTGTGTGTGTGTGTGTGTGTGTGTGTGTGTGTGTGTGTGTGTGTGTGTGTGTGTGTGTGTGTGTGTGTGTGTGTGTGTGTGCGTGCCTGTGTGTGTAAATGCTGTTATTTATTTTTATTTTTATTTACTTTTTTTTAGATGAGATAGTATTAAGATCCGGGAAATCATTTCAAAGAAATCTGTAAATCTTGTATATATTTGGGGATATTTTTTTACGATCGTTAATCTACTGTCTCTCAGGTAGCGCAACTGCATTTTGTATTTTTGCGGTTTCTCTGAAACTCCAAATCCCGACAAATCCTGACGGAACGCACCAGATTATGAGCTGTATTTTTTCTGGTTTCATCCAATAAGCACAATTTGATGTTCGGCACAGGTTTGCAAACCGAGCTTCTTAAACTCCTTCAAACGCCCCAAAGGCGCTGAATCAAATTCTTGTCTCACTCCAGCAGTTTATTTAAAGCACAAACTTAAATCAAATCAGTCATGCAAAACGCTCGACCTGTTAGCGATAACCTGACATTTTTAACAAAATAATGATTTTTTTTTCTGGATCTTTTTTTTTTCATTTAACTTTTCAAGAGTGTCTTTTACTTTAGCAGATCAAATTCCGTTGTTGTAGGCTCGCGATGTCGACGTGCGAAATAACTTAGAAAGTTTAACTTTCCTATTTTTAATGGAGCTATTAAATTAAAAACTACGGAAGAGAACCCATTTAACCTGCTACAAAGTTATGTTTATTCATTCATACCACATTACATATTATAGGATTTTTATTTGGTAAAAAAACTACGAAAAAATAGTTCAAATAAACGTTTGTGTTAATGCTTAATTCATATGAACATACAATAAAAACAGTCGACACAAGCCGATTTTAAAAACAGACGATAAATTTATTGTTAACACACAAAAATGAATGTTTTACATAAATTAATTACATCGTGTGTCAAATGATGGCCAATAACATGTATGTAAATTATGAATGAAAATGAAATATGCGTTTTTACAGTAAAATTTATAATGCTGCATAAGGTCCTCAGAAAAGAAAACTACATATAAAATGAAGACAATACTTCTCTGAATAGTTTTCAAAGAATTGGTACAATTTTCGAAGCAAAGTTCAGGGTAACATCGAAGAACAGAACAAGCATACCAGCCGAAGACTTTTCCTTGACGTGGGAGCAACTTTGATGTTCTTTTCAGTTCTCGTCTGGTGGTTACCAAATATCTTCTGCATTATTTTTTTTTTTTTTTTTTTTTTTTTTTTTGGGGTTTTTTTTTTTCTGGATCAGGACAACTTAGGTTCTTGCAGCAGCTGTTCGTCGATTCCCCAAATAAACTCCACCCCACCCCATACACACCTTAAATAGCCTACACGTAGGTTACAAATACACTTCTCAGAATTTGGGGGGAAACCCTTTTATTGGATTTGGATGAAAAACAAACGCAGCTGTTTTCCCACAAATCGAAATCTACCAAAACTATTTTCGAAATTCAAAAATGAATCAAGTGCCCAACACAGCGTCTGCTTTCTCTCTGAATGACAGACGATGCACGCTCAAGTAGCTTAAATTTCTTCTATTAACTGAAAATTAATTAGATATTCAAATTAATTACACCGGTCATAAATATTCACTGTAATTAAAAAAATCCTTTCATTTCGTTTCCTCTTTCAATGGTCATATATTTTTCTTTTCAGCTTTTGTGACAAGCAAAAATCGGATCATTATTAACGAGGTCAGTGTGGATACAGATCTCACATTATTATGATTAATTGGACTTAAGATTGCTTTATTCTTCAAGTGGAAGCATTTTAATGGCATTTTGTTTTAACAAAAATCTCACGAGGATGTGCCGTTTCTTGCTCTTTTGCAGTAAGAAAGTGACAAACAGAAATCGGATCATTTTATAACATAGATTATTCTGTCATATCCTCCAGCTTGAAAAAGAATTATCTGTTTTCGCCCCAGAATATCAAAGCCGCTTCACATAGCAGGGGCTTCTGTCTTTACGTCTTTTTTAAATGATAATCGTGATAAATAATTCGCGTAATTGTTGCTTCTACTTAATCGTATCTGCGCAGAAATTCGATTGCTTTTCTGCTTGGTTGCTTCTTGTCATTTGTTTATTTATTAAATCTTTCATGTACATTTTCTCTCAATAATGTCCGTGGAATACAATGCTTCATCTGGATATTTTGTCCCCGAATCGAACAACAATCAAAACGAGGCTGAACGCTGGCAAATCACAACAATTCTTATATAAGAAAAACTTTCTATATGTGTCCTGATCAAAAGATTTAAGAAGTAAACGGTCATCATCGCCATAACACTAGAGTTATTTTCTTTTATATTCATTATGATCATTCCAATCAAAGTCCTGCATTAATTTCGTCCAGTTAACTGATATTTCTGCCACAATTAAGGATTGGGGCGGTTTTACTAGCACCATTTTGTTTAGTTTCCTGTATAGATAGTATTATGCATATTGTAAATATTCATTGGGATTTCATTTTTAAATGTTGTTATTCTATTCCCCACACACAAAATGTACATATGTACTAGTTAGGACTTCATAGAGACTTTGAGGTATTATCGTGTTTTTAGTAAGAATGGTAAGCAAGAATGTGGTGTTTTGGTGCAAGGAAAATTGTATAGTTTGTTTGAGTCAGTAATTGTGGTTGGCTAAGTTTAAGATAAGATAGATGAAGACCAGTCTTCCCCATACCTACTTTTGGCCTTGGGACACATTTTTTGTTTTTTAACAAAGATAAATATTAGTATGACCATTCGCTTGATTACTTATATAAATTGTACAGTACTTATTTCCAGTAACAGCGTTACTTAAAATGATTACTTCGCTACTTATGTAAAACCAGTCTCAGATGGTAATAATATACCCTAATTGCCGTTTTTATTTTTAAACGTACCAAAACATTGCCCTGTGTCTATTACCGATGGGAGATGTGCTGTGACGGTAGTCTTGGGTGTCGGATGAGTTCGCTAGAAATAAAAATTATTACCTGCAATAAAATACTGCAAACAAACCAAATTAGTACAATAAATTGTGTTATTAATAATCGTGATAATAAAATAAGCACATCCCATCTCCCTTCTTGCTTGTGACCATTCATCACGATAAATGTTTTTCGACACTAAAAACTAAGAATAAGTCAAATTCTAAGAGTTGTTGTTATATTACAATAACAAAATATTAAAAGCAAAGCAAATCATCAATTGGAAAGAATTCAGTTACATTTATTTATTGTACTTTGCTTTATATCAATTTGTTTTGTTTACTTGTATCACAGTCCTCATTGATACAAATGTAACAGTATTTTTTTATTTGCTTTGGTAAATTTCATTTAATTTCCTTTAAAGGTTAAATTTACAATACAGAATTCCATACTTTATTCCAGTCTACTGTTGTACTATTGTACTAATTATGCATTTTCCCCTACAAAAACCACTTTAAAATATATTTCAATAAATATATGATGAAACATGTGAAAAAATGCTCCCCACAAAATATCCTTGTAAAATAAGAAGTGGCTCTTATTCACATAAGAATTGGGTGCGTGTTATACGAAGAGAAATACCGTAAGTTACAGATAGCTATAAAAAGGTAGTGCCGATTATTTACGACTAATTTGGTTAGATAATGCCATTGTTTGCGTCGTGTGGCAATAATTGTAAGTAAAAGGCTGCACTAAAATAAATAAGTAATCGTTTTAAGTTCTCTAAAAATCGGTGCCTTTACCATAAAGACATTTGTATTCTGATCACGATAAATATTTTAGAAAGCATAAATGTATTACACTAACTACGTAGAAATTTAAATTATGTCGGAATTTTGGAAAAGAGGAATTATTATTGATTTATTATTCGAATCGGTAGCCTTATCTTGGTTGCTATCCTCACCAAATTTCATTTGTTGCATTGAGATACACTTGGCCAAAAAAATTATGTGTTCTTTTGCAGTTATGAGTTCCATTCTCATAGTGGTGAGTAGTAATGAAAGAAACGGACAAGTGACACAAAGGTGAATGAAATTGATTTGTTTGTTACGGCTTATCAACATTTTGAAGGCTATTTAAAGCCAGAAAATATTTTTAAATTGTAAGAATTATTTTAGATATAATAATGATTTACTGATACAAGTCCTACTCATTTACGGGAGGAAGAGGTTGATTAATACCCTTTACCAAGGATATTTGCGCCTAAGTGAATATAACGAAAGCCCGACTCTCCGATTAACAATTTCGAGCCATTATTTATTACACCACCCGCACATCCAAGCTTAAAGCACCTGGTATTCCCAAACAGTCACCCATCTAGGTACTGACTTGGCTTCAACGTTGCTTAACTTCGGTGATCGCACGAGAATCGATGGTTCTACGTGATGTAGCCGAAAGCCAAAGGTGAATGAAATTTGTATTAATTGATCTGAGCATAAAAATCAAAATGAAATCCACCTCCGTGGCTTGAATAAAGGGTTCGATCAAAATTACGAGGTTACCATCTACAACCACAGACACTTGAAGAAAGCCGTAGGGGAGAAAGATTTATAAGTTGGAAGCATGCTGGTCCAAATAGTAAGTCATAAAGATTTAAATTAATTTGAATTTATAATTAATTTTCAGTTAGTATAAACAGTTTAAGCTGCTTGAACGTGATCGTCTGCCTTTCAGAGAGAAAGCAGACGCTGCGTTGGGCTCTTGATTAATTTTTGAATTTTGAAAATAGTTTTGGTACATTTCTATTTGTGGAAAAACAGCTGCGTTTGTATTTTATCCAAAGCCAATAAAAGAGTTTCCCTCTAAATTCCGAGAAGTGTATTTGGAACCTACCTCTAGGAGTGGGGAGAAAATTTGGAGAATCGACGAACAGTTGCTGAAGAAACCCAGATCACCCTGGTTCAGAAAAATAAAAAACACGGATGAAATTTGACAATCACCAGGCAAAAATTGAAAAGAACATTTAAGTTCGCTCCCAAATCAAGTCTTCGGTCCGTATGCTTGTTCTATTCTTCACTCTTACCACGAACTTTGTTTCGAAAATTGTTTCAGAGAACTATTTTCTCCTTTCTTTATTTTATGAAATTTTCTTTTCTTAGCATTATAAGTTTTATTGTAAAAAGGTATATTTCATTGATAATTTATATACATGTTATTGGCCATCATTTGGTACAAAATGTACTTAATTTATTTAAATCCTTCATTTTTGTGCGTTAACAATAAATTTATCGTCTGTTTTAAACTCAGCTTGTGTCGTCTGTCTTTGTTGTGTGCTCATATAAATTAAATGTTACCTCAAACATTTGTTTGAACTATTTTTTTCATAGTTTTTTGTTTTATTACAAAATAAAATATATATAGTTAACCGTTATTCTGATGGTAGACATTAATATTAATTTAAATACAATATAGATAAAGCTAGTTTTTATTCGTTTTTCGATAAACATTTTCAGAGTATACTTTTTATTCCACATGATTTTCATTCGTATATCATGTTCTCATTCTTTACCAAAAACAATTTTCATCTCCGTGAAGATTCACTGGATATTTGTTTTTCGCATTTCTGGTAACGTTTATCAAAACGTATTGTAAAAAAAGAAATAAAAAAAATCTTTATTTAATAAAAATATTTAAACATAATTTTACGCGCTAGGATATTTCAAATGGTGTTTGTGACGAGATTTTAATTGACCAGGATGAAAATATATCAGTAACATTTTCTAATGACATTTTAATACTTAGTAGTAGTAACAGTGAAAATTTCACGGCTTTCATTTTTGATTTTTTTAGTTTGTTTTCTTTTTTCTTTGTTTCTTTCTTTCACTGAAATCAAACAGCGTCTCTTATGTCTTTTGTGCGTCATTCCACGCGATCAAAACGCATCAGTTCATTATTTATGAGGTATTCGCAGGACGTAAGTAAAGGTTTGATAAACAGAATTATAATAAAATTATTATCACTTTGATGATTTTATACATTATTAAATAAATATCATTTAAATTTGATTATATTTTGTTTTGTTTTTCATTTAGCATATAATTGCATATAATCACCGCCATCGATGTTAAGTAAATTATAAAATTTGTATAGCTTTTAAATTAATTTCATTGACTTTGACAAAGGTTTCTATTATTTAAATAATTTCGATGGCATTGGTTGTATAAACAACCTGGGCACCTAATGACATTATTGCTAGACACTTGAAACCTATTCTATTTATTGTAAAAACTACATTCGACAAAAAAAGGAAGAAAAACATTTGGATCCTTATATATTTGGATGACTTATTAACGCAGGAATATGTAAACAGAAAATGTACGTGATTCATAAAATATTTTGGCGATTAAATAATTCCAGTCACATAGACTTTTTGTTACTTTTTTCTAAGCATATAGAAATAAAGAATCTATGTATAAATCTGAAGATTTCTATTTTAATCCTTTCTTTATTTCATTTTGGAGTTCTTCGTTTGTTTTTATTATTATTTTCAGTTTTTCGAATTTACTCTTTCATACAATCCTTTAGGAAAACTTTTACATGAGGTAAAGATTGTTAGTAAAAAGTTTTTCATCATCTTGTATTTAAAGAGATTTTCTGACTATTAAAAGTAAAACGGTGCTCACGAGCAGGATCATTTATAACTTAGCTAATGGGGGATTCCTCGGATTTTCTTAATATTTATTACTATTATTATTATTATTATTATTAGTAGTAGTAGTAGTAGTAGTAGTAGTAGTAGTAGTAGAAAAAGCTGCAGTAGTAGTATTTTGTAAAAACTATCTCCAAGTCGGAACTAGAGACGACAAGAAAAAAATTTTTATTTATTTCATTTGATATCTGGTGTATACTCATTTCTTTCCAAAACAGAGACCTAAGGTCAGAAATGGCATTATGACATTTTCCACTGATCATTTTTTGAGATAAAAAACAAACACCTAAGACACACATATTTTACATAGATAAATCCCTTCGTACGATGTGGGCAGGTACTTGTGACTATAATTTTTTGTATTTATTATTATTATTATTATTGTTGTTGTTGATGTCGTTAAAACGAGTACTTTCACTATTTCAGACAATAAGTGTGCACATGCCATCTGTATATTTTATTTGAGTGATTTGTTTATTTTTGTTTTGTTTTTACGTATTATCAACCCTTACCGGTTATTTAAAGTTGAAATATATTTCGGATCTTAATCTCATTGACAATTTTATTTGACAAAAAAAAAAAAAAAACTCTTGTGGATAGAATACTAAAGTTTGAGAATACAAATGAATTCAATCACTAAAGACTCATTTAAATTCCATCGTTTAGTTTCTGGTAACGCCATAATAATTAATTAGAATAATCCACCAAAGAATAAATGAAAATTTAATTAAATAAATATTTCTTATAAAAAGTGTTTATCCAATTAACAAAACCCATTGTGATAAAATTCCTCTATTCTATGTTTTTTTTTTTTTACTTAACTAGTACTTACATATATGCATATATATAAGAAAACAATTGGGCTCCTCGACGTGGTGTAGTGGTGAGCAAGCTGGTCTTGCTAAAACTGTTACAACTGAATAGTGAGTTCAATTCTCACTGGGTGCTCCATACTTTCGGCCATGTGCCACATCTAAGCCTCGCTTAGAAAATCAATATATATAAGAAAACAAAAGCTTTCTCGCGCGTGCGTGCGTCTTCGTTTTTTGTACAGTAAAGATGTACAATTATAACTATGTACAACACCAAGAAGGGATTTTGTTTTTTCATATGTCAAGTTCGTAAGTGCAGAACAGAGATTTTCTCAAAGATTTCTTTAACGTTTTCGACAAATAATTTATGATCTTAATAATACCATTCCTTGATGTTCTAGTAGAAACTAATAGTCACAATGTTATTGCTTCACCGCATAAAAAAACACGGGCAAAAAATCTTGCCTTCTTAATTTCCAAAGCGATTTTTCGAACAAATATAAATAGCCATTCTAAAAAATATGATTAACTGAGTATAGATAATTTTAAAACACATTATTTTATTAAAAAATTAAAAAAAAAAAAAACGAGCTAAACTTTAATAATTTCCCCCAAGTATGTCGTCGACGAACAGATAAAATTAGGTTTAAACAATTTCAAGACACGTCATTAAATTATTCTATTATAATCAGATATAACCTTAACTGTAAGCAAGATAAAACACTAGTGTGTGTGTTCGTGCACACGCGTATACGGAAAAGCTTAAACGATTGCTATAAGAGATTCGAGAAAATCGGGGCTGATCGTACTATTTGGAAATGGATTTTTAGAAATCAGAACATGTCTTCAGTGGCAGATAACTTTCAGTTTGAGCGTGCATGCACCATCTGTAGTAGGATCATCTTATCCAAAGCAGGACTTGCTAGTCATCAAAGATTTTCTGGCAATAAACAATCACAAGTAGACTACACTGACAGCCATCCACAATAATTTACAGGAAATTTGTGACAAAGTATGCGGGTTAGCAGCAGGTCTGAAGATATTGTATAAGGAACGGATAAACTCAAACACAATACAAAGTCTTTCGTCTGACATATATAACGTAATGCGTCTCCATTTTTGTTCGCATTGCGCTGCACTATAAACTGGATAAGATCAGGAACATGTTCATAAGGAAACGCTAGATGAAAACAAATACGAAAGCAAGAAAGTAGTACTTGAACTCTGTTTCTAATAATGTAAAATATTCTTTTATTCAGAGATTCGCGCGCACGGGTTGGATGGATAGGTAAGTAACACCTGGGACAAATTTTGCCATGTCAGTTAAACAGCATAGCTCTCGTGGTATCTCAGTGACAAAGTTTTTCAAGATATCTGGAGACTGAACATGGTGCAGCGAGCAATGGATTTACATCTTTCTCAAGAGTTTAGTGCTAAACGAATAAATAAGAATCAAACTCGGTTCGACAATTTTTGACATACCGATAATAGTATACAATATACCTCTGCCTTCGTATATAAACACCCTTACATTTGCACAGATTCGTAACCCCATATCAACACTTATATTAAAATTTTGTCATAACGTTAGAGTCTCCAAGTCTCTGATTTTTTTTCTTTTACGCCGCCATGTTATTTCTCTAACATTAGGCTGTTACTCTATATACAACACAGACATTTCGTGGAAGCTTCTAAGCATCGAACACATATTAAGTAGTAGCGACGATCAACACGTTTATCGCTGTTTCAAATAACTTATTAGAAAGTAGCTTATGTCATTATTTGGGGGAAAATTGTTTTTAATTAACTTTTTTTTACTCTTCAGATTTTATTTTTACGGATATCAGCAGACATAAAAGTATTCAAGCCTATCGATATGCTTACTCATCTATTTTGTATCATATCTTTTTACTGTCAAACACGACTTCAGCGTA